GTGGGGAGGGGAGACTATGCCATCAGCGAAAGGAGGATTGGCTGCATCCAAAGCCAGTCCGGATGCAAACTCACGGCCGGGCCTCGGTCGCGTGGAGTGCAAGGGGATCGCGGCGTGGGTGGGAGTTGAAGGGGTTGATGGGGTTGAGGGAGACGTGAGGTCTGGAGGGGGGGCACCTTCTGCAGTTGTCACCGCGTCAATGCTGGGCAGCTGCCAGGCCACCCTTCCCCCGCTCCCCTTCCAGCAACTTCTTCCAACAGCCTCTTCCAACGGACCCCCTCACACTCCTCCCTAAAGCCTCGCCCATCTAGCAGGGCACAAAGAAATCTCAGTCTCCTTCCATAAACTTTGTGCTTCCAGTTACCGCTCCCCTTCAGGAGCCCCCGCCCTCCGCCCTTCCAGTTTCTTGGCAGGAAGGTTAGGCCACTGGCAAAGTCCCCGGCAAAAGCCAGCTGATCACAAACGCCAACTGTGTATCTTGGGGCCCGTTAAGTCCTCTCATCTGCCCAGGCTCTCAGGAGACCATTTCATTGCTGTCAGAGTTCCCGGGAGACTGCTGCGGATACGAACCATCCCCCACTGGGCCCACAAGGATGGGGTGCTGAGCTGTACTCACAGAGCTTTTCGGCATCTTGCTTGAGAGTTTCCATTTGAAATAGTGAAATTCCCGAATCGGGAGTCAGGCAGATATTTTCCTCACATCCAAAAGGACGATGGTTAGCTGGATGATTCGCTCTAGATAGGAAAGGAACTTTGAGCTCTAACACGAAATACTAACTTTGTGTGAAGTCTGTGGAAGTTCTGCAGTTCCACCCTGCCCCCATGACCTTCCATTCTCTTAGTTCTGCCACAGGGAAGCACCGTGGAGCTAATAAAAGATTTGTTATTGTCATAATTTTTCAATCAGGTAAGATCCAACAACTATTTCCTGGTTCGTTCGTTTATTGAATTCTGTTTCTTTCCTATTTGTTGGTTGTGTGTTTGCGGTTTGGGAAATGGCAAGGCACGAGAGAACATGTTTTGAAACGATCGCAAAGCATTATTTGAGTCAAGTTAAGGTGAGAGAGGTTCACTTAGTTTCACACAGTTTCTGATACACTGAGTACTAAATGTAATTCTTGCAGGTGTGAGAGAAGGGATGTGGCCGTGCAGAACCAGCTACTTTATGTAAATAGCGTTTACTAATAAACTCCTATGATCGCTAACATGCATTCCCTAGATACTGCCAATGTCTCCCCCAGGGGGCTGTGAAATTGTCCACTCTGACCTGAAATGGGGTCCCCTTTGTTATTTGACTAGCATAGACACAAGCATCATCAAATGATACTCTAAAAGGGTCTGGGGTCAGCACAGAGCCTGGACTGCTGGAGCATAATGCAGGATGCTCCTTGTGCAGGCAGCTCTCCACTCGCTGTCATTTTGTATCCCATTAGGACATCTTCTAAAGGTGTAAAGCTTTTCCTCATGAAAGGTACGGCTGAGCAAATCTTAACACCAGGCTGGAGACCAATTGTGACTTTGATTACACTGCCATTAGCTCTATGGCCATATGAGGTTTTAACAGTGCAGTGCATGATCCTTTGCAATGGAAAAGGCACTAAATGACCAAGTCCTTGCCCTGAAGATGCAGCAAATTAAGATCCTAAGTCCCATGAAAAGCAAGGTTATTTGTACTTACGTTGTGGGGTGAATAAGCAAACGGAGACGTCGACTTTTTGCCTCCTTCATTCTCAATTCATTACCGATAAATTGGCATGCTGAGAATCTTAGAATTGTATTTATTGTACATTACAGTTTTCATAGATCTTTGACAGAATTGGCTGACTTATGTCACCCAAAAGGAATGTCCACCGGAATTAAAATAACACAGCAGTTAGTGTTTCTTTTGGCATCTAAAATAGTTAAATATGCAAAGCAAAAAGAAACAAATAAATCTGTGCTAAACATTTGCTTTAAAAACTGAAAGGAACAAAAGTCAGGAAATTTAAGGCAAGATTGATAAAATAACCAGAGTATGTTATTATAAACAGTATATTGGTTTATCGAAATGTATAACCATATATATATATGTATGTTAATGAAATAAATTATATTTATTTGATTAATGAAGTAAATGTATATGAATTAAATAAACTGAATACTCCTACATCTATTTTCTCATCATTTTAAAATGAGATTTTGAGTTATATTTAAGGTTCAATTTTTAGTTTCTCTTGTTTAACTCGCCGTGGTTATAAAATAAAAAGACAGCAAAACCTATATGGAATTATCTCTGTCCAAATGGATCTAGCAGCTCCAAGCCACAGCTACATGGCTCCCAAACAATGATTATGAAAACCACAGTTGAGCGAAGAATCAGGAAACGGCATTGCGAAACCACAGCAACAAATGTGTCTGTGATACTGAAAACCACAATTCACAACTAATACCCCGTGTCGCCAATGACTATTAACTATACATGTGCAAATGTGTAAGTAACTGCACAAAATAATTTCTCATTTACGTAAAAATGAATTATTCATTTTTGAGACTCACAAGACTTAATGCCCACATATTGGTTTGTTTAGAAAAGTTTCTGCTTCTTATAAGAAATCCTTCTAAATCCCATGTAAAATGATAGTTAATTTAAAAGCAGAGAACATATAACTCTGAGTAATAGCTTCTCAAATATTTAAAGGATTGATCTGCAATCGATCTGAAATGAGCACCTACCTCTTTCTACTCTCCTTCCTAAAGTCTCAGAAGTAAAAGGCATGTTAGCAGGAACTGATTAAGAAAGAAACAATAGAAAGGATTTGATTGCAAATTCAGCGAGAACAGAGCTGTGTATGTTTTCAAATAGTTGCTCTTCAGTGCTTACTTACAGATGAAGGAGATGATATCCTGTATAAGCGTATGAGGCTGTTGTAGTCTTACAAGTAATATGCAAAATGTCCAGTTAAATAGGAGTGTCAAAAGATGTAATTTATTTGAGAAAAATATGCTTCATGTACGTAATTACCCTACTGATATTTCAAACTTATCTGAACTTCAAATTTAACTAGATACCTTGTATTTTATCAGGAAAACCTACAAATATAACATTTTGGCGTTTGCATAGATAGATAGATAGATAGATAGATAGATAGATACATAGATAGATAGATATAGAGAGATAGGTAGACAGATATTTACAATCTCGTTTGTAGAACAAGTAGAGAAACCATGACGTACTTCCTGTAGTCATAAATAAATTAATTCTTGATTGATGCAATATTTAGGGAAGGTATGGTAGAAGGAATAAACTTCTCTGCAAGAATTCTAATTTTTTTTAGCACAGTACAAAAATTCAACTCATAGAATAAGTGGATTGTATTCATGTCTGTCTGTTCTGGGATTTGTTTTATAAATGCGCTTCTCTTTTTTCTACAGGGAATCAACAAATTGACCAAGAAAGCTCCCAGGCCAATCTTATGAGATAGCAAATTACCTTCTTTATTATGAAAGTAAGTAATAGTCAAAACCTTCAGAGAGACTGACTGTTTGCTCATATGTCATAACCAGAAATTGAACACAGTATATCTGTCTTTGGTTTGAGATTGTGACAATGGATTGAACAAGAACCAAGTATAAAAGTCGTGTTTATTATTCTTGAGTATTTCTTAAAAATAATTTTAACGGTTTAAAAATAGAGATCAACAAATTCACCTAAATGCCACTCCTGTTTCATAGCTATGAAAATGAGTACCAGCTTTCTTGCAAAGAGGGCTCTGAAATATTCACTCACTGAATTCATGAACCTCTCCATCCCTAGTAGGAGCTTGTACGCATAAATACTTATCTAAGTGTGTCTACTTAATTTATCAGATTATCGAAAGTCTATGAAAATATCTCTGCACATTGTTTTTAAAAAGTCCTTGTTCTCTTTATTTTCAAATGCTTATATAATCCAGGAAAAAAGACAAGTACGGCTTAAGATTTTCCTCTAGTTCGAATCACTTTTCTGATAGAGCAGAATCATGGGGTGACTATTTAAAACAGGAAGAGCAATGTTTCTATGACAATATAATGAAAAATGTAAAGAATATAGTTAACTCTGAAAGAGTACCCTTTCCACTCTACAGATTTCTCTTAGGTTTGCCTGGCGGTTCCACTAATAATAATGGTATCTTAAGAAACACCTCCTCCTCCTCTCTCTCCCCACCTCATCTTCCTCTTCCTTCACCCCCTCCTCCTTCCTCTTTCCCTCATCCTCCTTCTTCCCTTCCTCCTCCTCCTCTCCTCTCCTCCTTGTCTCTCTCCCACTCCTCCATATTATTATTTAGGTGGGTTGCAAATGCAACCTTTCTCAGTCCCTAACCAATTAAGCTATTTCATCCTTCTGTCTGTTGTGATTGTCTTGGGATTCTACATTGTTCCTATGACAGTGGGTCCTGAGAGATTTTCCTAAAGTTCTTGAGAAAGAGGGGTATCTCTCCTCTTACACTTTCTGCCCTGGAGAAATGCAAATGAGAAGTTGCTAGTGGTCACAGTCATTGAAAGATGCCAATATCAACATTTGATTTTTCAGTCTTACGTTCTTACAGAATTCAAATCAAAACACACATCAACGTTTCACGACTTGTTTTAGACACCTCAATATTGTCTATGGGCACATAAGTGTCTGAGTCTTGGTCACTTGTATTGTATTTCACTTGGATCTGCTTGGTCAGGTGTACTATGTGGTGGTATCCTTTTAGTGCAGCTGTAGATGTCTTTCACAGGAAGACACCATCAGCCTCACAAATATTAGTGAGATGCCTCTTCTTGGGTACTGACAAGATGTACATCCACTACAACATGTCCTATTTTGTTGAAATACACTGGAAACTGTTCTATGTAAGCCTGTCATTACCAAGGCCATTCTCTTTCCATTCATTTATTTAGTAAGTTCTCTGATTTTAAGGGTTCCCCCAGTGTTGGACATATAAAACATGCTAGCAAAATTATAAAAATAAACAGTAAGATCAGGCTGATCCTGTCTCATTTGGGGACTGATTCCTAATCCTTGGAGACAGAATACTGAGTACAGGAAATAGCAGCAATGTTTATCTAAGATGCCTGGCTTCATGTTCTTATGGCATATACTTGGCCCCAAAAGAATATATGTCTGAAATCTGATGGGCCAAAGGTTTTAGTAATCCGGAGTTTATGTAAAGAGTTGAAATCTTTATGTGAGCTTGATGAATGACTATGTAAAACTTCTAGAATTTTGGTATATTCTGTTGCCATAAGAAAGAAGTGATGGGAGCCGGGCGGTGGTGGCGCACGCCTTTAATCCCAGCACTTGGGAGGCAGAGGCAGGCGGATCTCTGTGAGTTCGAGACCAGCCTGGTCTACAAGACCTAGTTCCAGGACAGGCTCCAAAACCACAGAGAAACCCTGTCTCGAAAAAAACCAAAAAAAAAAAAAAAAAAAAAGAAAGAAAGAAAGAAGTTAAGTAGCTGTTGTGGTATATTGGTGAAACAAACTTCATAGGCTATTGTGTTTGGAAGGCTGGTCCCAGCTACAAGTGTTGTTTGGGTACATGAAACACTTAGGAGGTAGGACATAGCTAGAGGAAGTAGACAATTAGAGGTGGGGTGGGCTTACGGTCACTGTTGCTTGAGTTTGGATGTGACTAGACCAAGCTCTAACTTCAAGCGCCAGCTGACAAGCTTTGATTTCCTTGGTGTATCTTCTGAAGGAAGCCAGAGTGGATCTTAAATCCTCTAAGTTGTTTCTTCTGGTTATTCTGACATAGACCGCCAACTACTGCAGAAACAGTAGGGAGACAATTAGCAAAACGAGTAACTGCTGACTGCATCAGCTGAGAATCCACAGAGTTCCACTTCCTGCTCTAGGCTGGCTTGGCAGCAACAGTGCTTCAGACATGCAAGGCAATGAGATGCCAATGGCTCCTCAGGAGACAGTTTTCCCAATTTCTCTGTTTTGGCTATTTTGGGCATAAATGTGTACAAGTTGATTCCTGTAATATTCAACCCCAAAGACTAAACCAAGATAAAAATTTAACCATCTGAAACTTTGACTTGCTTAATTAAATATTTACATTTAGAAGCATCAACCTACTTTAAATTTTATACTTTATTTCAGAAGAACTACAAAGGCATCTAGGATGATACTTTTGCCAAGGGGCCAGGTGGGGGGTGGCAAACAAACAAGCCTTATAAACATGAAATGAATAAGTCTTCAACATGAATTAGATCTCACCATAAACTGCCATCTACTACTGATTTTGGACATTTATGCCAAGTTAATGAATGGGAGAAATATTTGTATTTTCAAACCCATAGTTCCTCAAGGGCACAATGATAATTGACATGCAAATACACAGCCCTCTTGACTGCAGAGATTCTGGTCCCAGATGTTTGGTTTAATGTTTTACTTTGCTCTTCCACATTTGAATAAGCATCTAGCAGATTACCTTGCACATAAATTTTAAGGATGTCATTATAATTCACCAGAATAATGTTTATACTTGTGTGGTGAATTTTATTTTCTATCCTATAAAACTTTTTCTATAAATTACTGAAAGAAAAGCAACAATTTAACAGATTTTTAGGATATATGTATATGTATAGATAGAAGCAAGTCACCTCACCTGATACCTATTTTCCAAATTGTAATAAAAAAATTTATTGGGAATAACTTTAGGGAGAAATGAATATTTCATATGCTGTGAAATGGACCTATAGAGAATTCTAATGTTATCTAATTCTGCTTTTTCCTAGACATTATATTCATTTTTGGTCATCTTTCTAAAATTCTATACACTATGATTATTTTACTTCCCTGGTTAATATAATGCTCTCAAATATGCCAGCACATTCAGAGAAATGAGCTAACTATACCAGTAAGGGTCTCTTTTATCTCACAAAGGTGCTCTTCTGCCCCACTATAATCTGATCGTTCTCTGCCACTGAAATTTTCTTTCCCTCATTACGCTGGAGGTTTCCTTTATTTTATCCTGTAGTGGGATCTAAGTTTCTTGAATTATCTGTATTCCTCAACCATAGAGAACTATGAAATAAAGAGAATCATATGCAGAGAGCAAAGGATAATTACACTAGACTTCATATATGCTTTGTGTATAGACTACGTATATGTTTGGGTTTCCTTTCTAATAAGACTGATAATTGTTTGTAACAGTTTCTGCTGGTCTTCTATGACTTGATGCTGAAAGTATCTTAGGTGATACATAGTTGCCGAAAGACAATTCTTTCGTATTTTATTATTGAGTCACGTGGGCTAAGTAGGAAGGGTGGGCAATTTGGATAGAGAATAGTGCTTTTACCCTGTTGAATCTGTCATTTCCACCCTGCTTATACTTGTCATTTTTAAATTGTGCATTTTATTATATGTGACATACGTGCAATATAGCATTATCACTATGTCTAGAAGCAGTATTCGTGTTTGCCACCTTGGTTGTCACCTCTTAGTGATCAGTGTTCCATGCAATGAAATGTTTGTGTATCTCGGTTTATTTCCATGATGACATTTCAGACAACAGTTATTGAGTATTGCTTTTGCGCGTGCAAGTCTCTCAGCAGGCGTGAAGTATTATTTAGCCCTTAACTAATTATTTTACATCTTTTCTCCACTTCCTTTTTCAACTAAGGAACACTAATCTTAGTAAAGACGTGATGCAATTCAAACTAGTACTAGTCTTTTGAGATCTTCCATCTTGGTTTGGCCCCCTGATGTAGTACAGAACAAAGGGTGGAGAATAGAAAGCACTGGATAAATTTTCCTGGATAAATGGAAACCAAAAATGCCCGTGGGCAGAGGCCAGGATGCATCTTCTCCTTGAGCCTGTTGGCATGACTTGTACCTGGAGTGGAACAGGGGACATAGCAGGTTTTATTCTCTGAATAACTTAATAATTACACTTTGTGACTCTTATCCATTCAACATTTCTTGAAACAATATATAGACTGCTAAATCATCTTTTTATTATATCACCATTCTAATATTTTATTTTATGAAATTATATCATTTCCCCCCTGTTCTTCATCCCACCAACCCCTCCCATATACTCCTCATTAATTGCTTTCAAATTCATGGCTTTTTTCATTAATTGTTGTTACAGAAAACAATTGCATATATAATACATATATATAATACATGCATACTAATCAACTATATAACATATTAATGATTAATTTATATGCATGTTATTAATACAATCTATAAATGCAAAATTTATTTACAATTATTTACAAATTATTACTAATATCATGTGTATTATGTACTCACATACAATGTATATTTATTCATTATATATTATATAACACTAATAATGAATATTATGATTTATGTGTATATTAGTTGTATGTAAATAATAGATCTTATATATTATATATGTATACAAATATATATTTCTAAATGCATAAATAAAACTTGCTAACTCTTTTTTTTTTTTTTTTTTTTTTTTTGGTTTTTTGAGACAGAGCTTCTCTGTGTTGCT